GCAGGGCCAGTCAGGCGGCGCCATATTGGCGGGCTCCTTTCCGTGGGGAAAAGAAAACCCTTTCCCAAACCGTCCGGACTGGAAAGGAGCGACGAGGAGGCCGCCTTCGCCGAAGGAAAGAGACGCTGAGGGGAAAGTGGGGGCGTGTGTGGATAAAAACGAAGAAGCCGCCGCCCGCCCGCCTTCCTTCCTCTGAGGGGAAGCCGGAGCCTCCCGTTGTCCGCAGAGCCAGCCCCGACCCGGACGGTGAGAGAAAAAACGGCCGTTGCCCCGGAGGGAGGGGGAGGGGAGGAAAGGGGCGTGGCTACGGGAACCGTTGGCGGCACCCCCAAAACCACCGGCCGCGCGAGGCCTCTTCTGCCCCCCCACCCCGGCGGCACCACGTGACCCGGCTCGGAATCTTCAGCGGGAGCCCCGGATGTTGGGGGGAGGGGTTTGCATTCGAACCCCTGCCCCGCCCCTTTTTTGCTCCGCCCCCAAACTTTCACCCTCTTTCCCTCACTTCTGTGCCTTTTTAAAGGTTCGTTTCTCATCCTTTTTTTAAAAAATGATTTATATTAGGGTAAAATGTTGCATTGCTTTAGAGTCTGTATTCTATTATATAACTGCGTGTGTGTGTGTGTGTGTGTGTGTGTGTGTGTGTACACACACACAAAAAATACACCACCGAGATTGGCGTTATGAAAATAAATGAAATATAGTGTTTATTCAGTTTGTCCATTGCCTTGTGCAAATGCACTCCTCTGTGTTTTGCCGTCAACTAACTAAAGCAATATATAAATAAAAATGAGCAATAAATATAATAATTATTGTAAAAAAATAATTGTATTAAGTGGTGGAAATATCAAATAAGATGTCGCACGGGGGTGTAGAGCAGCGAGGAATGGATCAGGCAGGGTTGTTGCCCACAAAAAGGATCTCTGTAAAGCAGTGTCTTCAAATATCCTTTAAAGATTGGGAAGGGAGGGGACCTCAGTTGGAGCAAACCCCTGCTTTTTAACCTTCAGTTTAAGTTAAGGCAGCACCACCTGGAGATTCTGTCCTGAATTTTCATGTCTATGTGTGTGTTTTAATGAGATAAATACCTTTCAAAAAGAGACGACCGGAAGATGCCACGTTGACCGAAGTGGTCCCTTACCTGGCAGGAAGGCTCTTGGAGATTTGTCCGCTCTGCCTGCCTGAGCTTCCTGGAGGTGCAGATGTGTGAAGTCTTTCCTGCTCCTTCACTTTGCCTTCTCTCTTTCTTTGCAGATTCTGGGGAGCTGCGATGGCTGCACAGTCAGCGCCGAAAGTTGTGCTTAAGAGTACCACCAAGATGTCTCTCAACGAGCGGTGAGGAACGCAGCGGCCAACTTCAGCTCATAAGATTTTTTAATTTTTAAAACCTTTTTTTATTTTTTGCTTAATTGTCCCTGTGTTCCGTACCCGAGCACAACATGGCCCTTAACTTGCTTTCAGTCTGCCGAGAGGTAGAGAAGCAGAGGGCCACCCAGGTCTGCCTTAAACCCCACGGCAAACGGTGGTACGGAAGGTTAAAAGGGCCAGAGTGTCTGTCTGAGAGTAAATGGCAAACGTTGACATGGTGGGATGTGTTTTAAGCAAACTGCGCACCCTCCTTTCTCTTCCACATGTGTTCACATTATATAGATATAAGTGACTCTGCAGTGTGGTAGCATGTGACCGCAGCTGCAGGAGTCCGGCTGGTATGTCCAAGGCAGACACACAGACTTGTGTGGTCTGGCCTGTAAGAGGCAGGCAGCTGGCAACCGTGATCAGCCCGAAGGCTCCTTGGCCACCACCTTGGACCTTGTAAGAGGCAAGTGCGTGCTCCATCTGTCCTCGGCTTCTTCCCTTCCGCATGCCTTCTTTCTCTCCTTCCTTTCCTTTTCTGTGCATTTTAAGTGTTCAACCAATGGGTGTGTTGCTCTCCTTTGCTAAGGTTTCTTCTTAGAGGTGGGAGGGTCCTTCAACTCCGCTGTTTTGCAAACCCTTTGGAACTGGACTGGAAGAGGGATGTGTAGCGGGGTGACAGTCACCTACGACTCTTCTTGTCGTGTGCGCTCATGCTTTGACTTGAGAGGGCAAAGAGGCCCACTTGATACCAGTGAAGAGTTGTGCCAGATCAAGCCTGCTGATTTACCTAGTTTATGTATCATTTCACTGGGTACAGGACAGTTTGCCGTTAAAGCAAACGTATTTGGAACATACGATTTAGTATAGCCTCGAAAACATTAAAAGGAAGCTTTTAAAAATTAAATGCCTCAGCAGTAGAAAAATATAAGTCGGCCATCCAGTTAAAAGCCCCTTCCATGGCGAAATAATGATGATACAATAATATCTTAGAACCACAGAGCAGAGAGGGACTATATGGAACATTAAGTCTAGCCTATATCGAGGAGACACAGAGTGGGACTGAACTACCAATTTCAGGCTCCACAGTCAGGTGGCAACAGCCTGCCTTGGCCACTGTTCCGTCCTCATAGTCACCAGCCAGTGACCCTCCCGGTCGAGTTTTCCTGCAGCTAGTATTGGGGTGCCTAGTCGACTGACTAGACCCCGCAGCATCAGGACGAGTGAGACATTGGTAGACGTATCCGCTGTGAATTTGTCAGCTCTGCTTCTTGAAAGCTCTCCCAAGTTGATTACCGCTTGTATGCTTTGTAGAACACTGCATTATTTTTGCAGTGACCCCTTTTTCTGCCCATAAATTCATATGCAGTAGTCATATGTTGTTTAATAGTACCATGTGGGTTTGTTGCGTTCAGTGGTATATATATTTGGGTTCCGGCGGTCAGTCTGCTCATTACGGCACAGGGCTCCTAGGCAGCGGGAGAGCCCCAGCTTTGTGTGACGATGGCCGGGGTTCTTCTCTCGGTCCTGGCAGAACAGAAGCGGCTTGTAAAAGGAGCTGTTTCTGAGGTAAAAAATCAGGCTTACTGCAGAGAACTTGAACACGCATTCTGTGTGCTGTTTGAATGGCCCGCTTGTGGAGTTTGGTTGCTCCATAGATCGGTAGAAAATACTTCCAGGAAAGGCTTTTCCCCCCTCTCCCTTAGCAGCTCCCATGCTCTGTTGGGGGTGTATGCATCTCTAGGGAGAGGGCTTTGGACCTGTAAAGAGGAAATGAAATGTCCTGTTTTTTTTTACCCCTCCCGGTAATACAGAAGCAATCTCGGAAATTTAGTCCAGGTTGTATTGAACCCTGTCAAATGTTGCTAGCTAGGGCCACGGAGCTGTCTCAGGGCTTTTTTTAACCTGGTGCAGAAATTGGAATAATGTGAAAGGCACATCGAGTACAGGCTTAGAACTGTGGAGGCTGTAAATATAACCTTCACCTTGGCTGGCTTGCTACCTAGAGGTTTGAGTAGGTGTTTTCCTGTACTGTGCTTTCCCTCTCTTGGCTGCTAGCGCTCCAGTTTAAAATTTGCATTGCTTTTTCGTCTTCGTCTGTGTGCCTCTCTTCATTTTCTGTCTCCCCCCCTGCTTCCGCCTTTGTCTGTCTTCATTTCTGTTTATTTGAAATCACAGAAGCCTGATTAAGATTCCTCCTCCTGGTTTTAATGTATTGCACTAACCCTCACCTTTTGAATGTTCTGTCCTTGCACGTTTTCCGGAAAAAAAATGAGGAAAATAAATAAATGGCATCTAACTCGTTAACATGACATTCTGTACCACGTTGTTGCATAAAAGTTCCTGGGGTGCGGCTGTCCCTCTCTCTGGGCTGTGCAATGCCGGTTGAAAAATGCTTTTGTAATGAAACTTTTTATCTAAACACCCATTCTGTTCGACCTTGAAGCTTCACTAATATGCTGAAGAACAAACAGCCGATCCCGGTGAACATTCGGGCCACCATGCAGCAGCAGCAGCTAGCCAGCGCCCGAAACAGAAGGCTAGCCCAGCAGATGGAAAATAGGCCTTCTGTCCAGGCAGCCTTAAAACTCAAGCAGGTAAGACTCATACCGCCGGCTGTGTGTGTGTGTGTGTGTGTGTGTGTGTGTGCACGAGAGAGAGAGAGACAGAGAGGTTTTGAGGGTAGTGCCATAATTTTATTGATTCATTTACATCCCACAGCTTAAGAGCCGAGGCATCTCTCAAGGACTGAAAGCCAGTCGGAAGTCACCACTAGAATAGGACCAGGGAATCAGTGTGTCTCACAGAGGAACTGGCTCATTAAATCCCCCAGGGCTCTCCTTGGCCTGTCGAGTTGCTACTTGATTTTGGCAAATCCAAATCAAAAACAGAGATGGCTAGAAAGCTCAGGCTGAATTTTGAGACCCGGTTTTAGAGTGAGACCCCAAACTTAAAAGTGATGTTGGAGAGGGCAGCGGTGGGCTTCCCGAGATGCAAAGGGTGGCCGTGTTCCTCTTGAGCTGCCCCATATTTGTCCTAGAGGGAGAGATTGCTTCCACTGTTCAGCGGCGAGCTTGCTTCTTTGGCTGCCTCTGACTTTGAAATGACAGCCTCGCATGACTCAGGGGGAAAGGTTAAATATAGCACCCCTGCCTTGGTTCCTTGGCATGTGGGGTGGGAGACCACAGGGGATTTGCTGCCTAGTTTGGGATTCTTGCCGGCCGCTTGGCAGAGGTGGAGAGTAGCCTGGCCTTCCTGGCAACGAGACACTCCTTCCCCTTACAGCCGCCCCCCCCTCTGGCTACCTCCCTTTGGGAGTTGCCCTGGCAGGGACGAACAGGCCATCGCCTTAATCCTGGCTGTCGGCCGGGGAGGTTGCTTGAGAAGCCGCTCTGCCAAGGTGGCTGGCTGCTTAAGAGGAAGTATTCCAGAGAAACGTCCTGCCTGCCGGAAGCAGAAATTCGACCTTTGTTCACTTTGCTCTTGTGGATCCCTTCCTCATTTGTACGAACCCCAAAGGGTTTGGAGAGAGATAGAACACAGGGAATATGATTAGCTGATACTCTTCCATTCGCCTCAAGGCAACAGAACACAGAATTCCCCCCCCCCAAAGCAGCGCTACTGAGGTGTTTGTGCCTTTAAAGCCATCCTCTTTAAAGGGACTTCACATTCTTTTAATAGCCTGGCTGCACTAAAGGGAGTGTTAACATAAAATCAAAGGACTTGGCTAACATGCATCGCCCCTTTGCACTCTGATTCTTTGGCATCTTGAAAGAAAATGTTCTCTGCTTTTGCTAGAATTTTTTTCCTGTATAATAGGAATTCTCATCCTTCTTAAAATGTCTTTTTGTCCGGCATCTTAAAAGAAAATGTTCTCTGGTTTTTCTCATCCTTCTTAAAATGTCTTTTTGTCCCATCATGGCCAGCGTCCTTGGGCTCTTCTTTTAATTCAGTGCTGAGAGGCTGTGGCTGTGCAGGGGTTTCTGGATGACCCTCTCCTAACATCCTTCCCTGCTGCCTTCTGTTTGCAAGGGATTGTGGGAGTAATGGCTGTTCCGCCATGTCTTGGAGGTCCACAAATTACTCACCATGGCTTTAACTGGAGAAGTCTGGGATAGAAACAGACCATTGCACCCGCAGATCCAGGCCCTCTGTGTTCCCTTTCTTTCCTGACTTCACTACAATGGTGGCATTCCCTCGCTGAACTAGGATTTCATGAGCTGCTTTATTACTGCTGTAAAAGCTGGAAACCCATGTTTAATGTGGTGCGGCTGAATTACATGGCAGGGAGTATAATCAAGCGCCCATCACGCTGCTCATGTAGTAAATGCTGTTCTGTCAGTCATGTAATTATCATCTTTGTGTCCTATTGCATTTTCCAGTTCCCCAGAAATGAATGTTTTGGTTCTGCGCTGCATTCCTCGGCCTTCCTCTGCCTTTAACAATGGATCAGATGACTCTGTGCAACTGATTTTTTATTTATTTATTTGTCTCCTTTATAGGCCGCCTTTCTCCCGAGAAGGGGGCTTCGCAAAGCAAGCTCTTCTTGCTCCTTGCAGTTTAGAGCGTAGTCCTCTGGGCCGGTTGCTTGCAGCTGGTTTGTGGGGGCCCTTCCCTGTTTAACACTCTCTTCTTCCAGAAGAGTCTGAAACAACGCCTGGGGAAGAGTAACATCCAGGCACGTTTAGGCCGCCCAGCCGGGGCGCTGGCCCGGGGAGCCTTAGGGGGCCGTGGATTGCCGATGGGTCAGAGAGGACTGCCCCGTGGAGCGATGCGTGGCGGTCGCGGCGCCAGAGCCTTGCTGCGAGGAGGAATTCCCCTGAGAGGTTAGTAAGGCCTGGACAGAGACCAGGCGGTGTAGCAGATCTTGCTGGACCTCCTTCTGAGTTGTCACCTTGGGTTAAGATTGCAGTTCTAAAACAGGCAGAGCAAGGAGGTCCCTTGACTTCTCAATTTCGTTGACCCTCGTGTCCTCCAAACGGCTTGGTGGGTCGTATTTTATACAACCGTGCCGGCTGGAAATCTGTGGGCACTCTAGGGTTGCTGCCTATAGCTCGCTGGTTGTAACAGCACATCAGGAAATGGGTCACACCTGGTAGGAAGCGCCTTCAGCAGCACAGCTTGTGAAGGGGAGGGCTGTCGTCCCTTCCACTGGTTTGGGAACGCAAGAGACCATGGGCGCCCAGAACAACAGTATAAACTGATTTATTCTTTGCTGTATAGGATCTCTAGGCCAGCAACGCATTAGAAAAAGATCTACAAGCGGCAGAGAGTTTACCCTAATAAATGTGCGCCTCTTTTTTTAACTTTGGAGAGGCAGTAGTTAAGCACCATGTGTAGGACTTTGTAACCCTCTGAAGTGGTGTCAATAGCTTCTGTGTGCTGTTTGCAATCCTTTCTTTAAGGTTCTCTGAAATAGCAGTAGATTCCTCCTTCCCCCCTCCATTACAGGACAGACCTTACTTCGGGGAGGCCGTGGCATCGCCCCTCGGATGGGCATGAGAAGAGGCCTCAGAGGACGAGGCGGGCCGGGCAGAGGCGGGATTAACAGAGGAACCATGGGGCGTGGTGGCCTCGGCGGCCGAGGTGAGTGAGCGGTTAATCTCCTGCGGGTGAGGAGAAGGAATACTGAACTAGTAACCCAGAGGAATCTCTCTCTCTCTCTCTTGTTTTTCTTTTCTTTCTGTTTGAAACGCATCGCTGGACGTGGGCCCCTTTTCTTGAATTGGACCTTTTCTAAAACCCCTTGGTGCCCAATTGGCTTTAGCTGTGACTATCCGCTTGGCTGGGCCTGACAGCTTGATCCTTAGAAGGATGCTGGGCTGCGGTTCCCCAGCTGAGTGTTTACGTACATTTAGGTCCCCCTGAAGCATGCTACAGAGCAGGATTTTTCCGGGGATGCAGTGACGCAGCCTCTTGAAATTAGCAGGACAATTTTCTATGGGTATCTCTCGTCAGCTAGTGGTGCCGAGACTCAAAGGCAGACGTATTTAGGATTGTGTGGGAGGCTGCTCTATCCTGCTGGTTGGAAGGATTTTGGGCATGGTACCTCCAATCAGCTGCTTGCGCCAGCTCTGCCCACATCAGACCCACAGGTCAACTGTACCAGTTCTTGTGTTCACTTCCTGGTGCCTTGCAGCTCCCGCCATCCTCACCCTGCAGGCTGGCCGACCAGTGCCTAGTGGCAGACAATTGGGGGAGGGGGGGAGAAATATTTGGATCAGCAAAGACGGGGCTTGAACCCCTTTCAGAGAGAGGGGAAGTAGATCCGGTTTGCAGCATCTAATGGTCTCCTTGTTCCCCTCTGTGTGGCCAGGTCGGGGCATGGCTGGCCGGGGAAGAGGCGGCTTTGGCCGAGGAAGAGGCAGAGGGAGAGGGCGAGGCACCACTCGCCCGGCGCTGACTAAAGAGCAGCTCGACAACCAGCTGGACGCGTACATGTCGAAAACGAAAGGCCACCTGGATGCGGAGCTGGATGCTTACATGGCCCAGACGGATCCGGAAACCAATGACTGATGCCAGAGATGCTTTCCTGAGGCAGAGGGCGGGTGTGCGCATGTGTGTGTCCTCTCCCCTCTCTCCCCCTTTTCTGGAAGCCGAGGCCGACAGCAGCTGACAATTCTGGGATGACCTACAGACTGGGCACGGTGGGACAGGGCAGAAGATGTCACTCTAATGTGTTCTTTTTCCATTTTGATACTCTTGTGTTGTATGAAACTTTGGGGAGGGTTTTTTATATATACATAAACAGACACACACACACGTACGCCTATTTCTCAAATGACTTTGAAAATGAATGTGACTGACAGACCCTATGGATGGCATGGGTTTTATGGGTGGCTCACAAGCGCTGAGCCCTCCAGAACGCTCTTCATTTCTCTTCAGCGGGAAGATGCAGCGCACGAAACACACACACACACCCGCCTCCAGTCCAGCCGAGGCTTGCTGTAAATAGTAGGTCTGGTGCTTCTCGTGAGCCCTGACGTCTGGCAGCTACTGCTGCTGCTATAATTGCATTTTGGGTTGGCTCCCAAACCCACCCACGACTTATTGATCTGCCTGAGCATAATGGTATGGATTCTTTCAGGATCGTGAATACGTCTTCGTTGAGTCTTCTCTCCTCCCTGTGAACCAAAGGGGGCTCGAATTTGCCCACCCTGAGGTGGCTGAAAACAGTTGTGATTGTCATTTAATCTTTTTTCTCTCTCTCACTCGTTCACGCTCTTGTTGCCAGCCTGCTGGTTGAGGTTTTTTTAAGGAAGCGTTTGCCTTGTCTGTTACTCTTGTTTCTTGTGAGCGCCAGTGTTCTGCTCCAGTTTCCAACGCCATCTTGTATTTTTTCCAGTTTATTGTAAGAAACAATTGCAGGGAAAGGAAAAAAAATGTGTGTGTGTTTCCTTTTATTGTGGAAAGCTGGCACTGAAAGACATGATTGTGTGATACAAATACATGCCTACTAACATTTCAGATTCTGGAAGCCTTCTCGTTTTTCAAACAGCCTTCAGCTCACCTGGCTGTTTCAGCCGGTAAGCCTTCAGCATTAGCAAGTATGTTTAAGGCTCTCTCCAACTTTACCCCGATCCTCCTCCTTTTTGCACCTTCTTCTAAGACCTGAACACCAACCAGAACGATCTTTCAGACCTATGCTCTCTTTTTCTGGTGACAATGCAAATTAGTCTCACTCAAATCCTTGACTAGCAAGAGTTTAACAGGTCTTGCAGAAATGTTGCTTGGTTAAGTGGTTCCTCAGCCACCTTGTGATGCCACAGCCTCCTCGTTTAACACATCTTTCTTTGAAATAACCCTGAAGTGACTGAGATTTCTCTGGTCTGGTGATCTACCAGGTGATCTCCCTAGTAGACTGTGGGAATGCTGTAGACATACTATATCTTGCCTTCAGCAGATCCTTTGATACCCCCCACACACACACACAATATTTTGATTAGCAAGCTAAGTGTGTGATCCTTTGACGCCCCACCCCCCCCAACAATATTTTGATTAGCAAGCTAAGTGTGTACTGGACAGAACAATTATCAGGTGGATGGAAACACTGTTGGTTACAGAATTTTCCTTGTCGATGGCTCCTCCTCAAACTGGAAGGAGGTGACAAACATCAAAATGTGAACCTTTTGGTGTCTCCCAAGCAGCAGACTTAATAAAATTCTTAAATCCCCCAGTGACCGCTTTGAGCGTGGTCACTTTTTAAATTCATTATGGCTCAGAAGCAGGAGTGGCTTGAGGTACTTAAAGACTCGCCCGCTGCATCTTAACACCATTTGTTAACCTTCATCAGAGGCGTATGCCAGATTGCTCCCCTTTTTTCCATGTGGGCCACTATTGGTGGCAGAGAGAGGCTACAGTGGGGGGGGAATCTTTTTGGGTGCCTCTGGGTGTGTACCTACCAGGAACCGAGAGCAGCCGAGTGGAATGAGCACAGATATTTAAAGGTAAGTGCCAATAATTTGCACTGGGTGAAATGAACTATGGTTTCAGGTGGGGAATTGCATGGGGGTGCCACCCCGGCAGTGGCAGCTTAGGGTTGCCCACTTCCCTTAGAATTCCCCGTTGGTTTTAACTATTGCTCCTTCATCGGCAGGCGTAATTCCTGAAAGTGAAGCCCACCTAAGGTGCAGAGGGGTGCTTGGATGTGGGTGTCGGGCAGGGAGTGAATCCCGCCCCCCGGGTTGGAAGAGGGAAGACTACTAAAGTATTAAATAGGTATTCTTTGGCTCAGCGTCCTGATGCATCCTATAAGCAACGTACTTGTAACTGGAGAATTCCTCGCTGGGAAATAAAAGGAGGAAATGAGTCAAAATCTGTTTACTGTGTCATCTGCTCCCAAAAATCACTTTGGGTGTTGAAAACTATTGTGATGGTGAATCGGAGCTGGTCTGTGTTCAAACATAAGACAAGATTGGTTGCCTGTCTACCTATTTCTCCGTAAGAAAGGTGCGTTGAAACCTGTCACGCCGAAAGCCACATTTTAATATTGAAATAGCAAATAGGATCAGGCAAAGCTGGCTCAAATCAGTAATGGTGTGTGCTTAATGGGATTATGTCTTCCAATTTTTGTTAGTGGAAACGTGGGCGCACCTAGGTGTTTTGGATGTTCAGAGGCACCGTGGAGGTTGAATCTGTGTGAAAATCTGAATAGACCATTGTCCAGATTGGTGCCTTTTGGATGTGTGGGATTATAACGCCCAGCATCCCCACCCTGCTGGCCAGTGGGACCTGTAGTATCACAACAGGAGGGATGGGAAAGAAAGGCCACGAGGAACCAGGCACCCCTTCGGCCTCATATCCAGAGAATTCCCCTTCTGCCTGTTTATCCGGTTACGGATAGAAACGAGAGCTACAGTAGATCTTGCCTTCTGTGCATGCTCAGAGGCACTCTGCTACTTCCATCCATTGCTGATCCGAATCTCTGCTTTGCATCTGGAGACCCTTCCCAAGACTTAGGGGGTCCTTTCCTCTTTCATTGAGAGGTCATGCCCCTCTTTGACAGGTCCAGGGCCTCTATTGCTGATCAGAATCTCTGCTTTGAATCTGGAGACCCAGGCTTAGGGGGTCCCTTTTTCATTGAGTAGAGAGGCCACGCCCCTCTTTGACAGGTCCAGGGCCTCTATTGGCCAGAATCTTAAGGGAGGCCTGTGCTGGTGCTTCTCATTGGCCGTTTTCCCGGTGCACTCTTAACGCACCTCAGAGGATGTCTTGCATTTGCTGTAGCAAGCAAGTTAACAAAGGCAGACAGCTTTAGTTATTGCAGTATTAGGGAGGAAATTAGGGTTGCCCAGCCTGAGGGTCCAAGCTGTGCCCGAGGCGGAGGGGTGAGTACGTGGCTCCCTTCAGGAGGAGTCTGGCTCCTTACCAAAATTAAAATTAAGTAAGATCTGGGCGGAAGCAGGCATTTCCATATTTCTACATCGAAACCTGACGAAGTTTTGGTGGCGTCAAAAGTTTTTGAGTTGGCACCAGCTTTCGAGCTTGACTGCATCCCACGACAACAGTCTTAAGGGATGCTACAAGACTCTTGGTTGGTGACAGGCTTTAAGGCGACACAAGACTCCTGGTCAGTTTTGCTGGAGCCCCATCGGGAAATTGATCCACACCAAGAAAGAAAGAAAAAATATTCCCCACATCACTAAAATCCAGAGATAAAGGGGGAGAAAATCCACTGCAAACTAGTCTGTGTATACACTACAGGTCCCATAATCCTCTGACCAATAGAGAGGAGACAGCTGCCTGTACACTTCCTCAAATGAAGCTCTGGGCACAATCAGTTGCAGCCGTTTTCTCTGTCCGGCCCCGAGTGGATCTCCCCGCAACATAATCTTGTTGGAGGGGGTCTAGCCAAGCAGAATATCCAAAATACTAAAAGCAATGCTAGACCCTGAATCAACTCGAAATATATTAATGATCCCACATTCCCCGGTGAAGTTTCAGGTTCTCCATCTCTCACAACCCTTAATCCTGGGGAAACTCATTCAGGTTCTGAGCCTTGCAGGTTGAAAGCTAGCATGTCAGGAAAAGGCCTAGCGGGAACGCTTCCTTGACATGCTAGCTTTTTAAAATGCAGGGAGTTTAAAGCTGTAAGACCAAACATGGTAACTGCGGTGATGACAGAAGGACCTACATTTATATGCCGCCCATCTATGTCTAGATGGGCAGCATATTAATTAATTAATTAAATACTTTCAAGTAAACATTTGGTCAGGAGGGAAGACCTTGAGCTCTCCCAGGTATTTATGTCTATACCTACACCACCAAGTTTTCCTTTTTAGAATTTCTATACTCTCTTTCCATGTCACTTTCCCATAAATGAGCTAACCTTGGCATACATAGCTCCCCTCCTCCCACTTCTATCATCACCCTAACACCCCTGCAAAGTAGGATCAGGCCGAGAGGGGATTTGAACCCAGGCCTCCCGAGTCCTCTGCTATGACCCTGCTATTTCTGAGACCTCGTACATTTCGGTGCCTTCTAAGGGCTAGAATGAGGAGGGTCATCATCGTTCCATCTACCTGCCTATTGAATTATTTTTTATTTGTTTATTTGATCAGCACAAAGGAAGGTGACAGGATCGCTCTGGAGTCCATCTGTGTGTCTGTGCATCCTTTTTGGAGAACAGGGGGAAGGGATCCTGCGCTCGGCCGGTGTCCCAGGTTTGCCTGAAATCTAAGCCTCTTTTCCCACCCACCCCATCGCTGTTGTTTTGTCTGCTGAGTCGCCAAGGATTTTCCCAGTGCGCCGCCGCCAGGCCTGGCCTCCCCGTCTCGCCAGTCTCTGAGTCAGCGAGGGGCCGGGCAGACGGGTTTTGAGCGCCGCAGAACAATAACAGGGAGAGGTAGGTGAAGGGAAGAGAGTTTGGGCTCTCCCCGGCTGCTCCGGCCATTGGCTTTGCCGCCGGGGAGGGGTGGCCCCGGAATGGGGGAGGCCCTCCAGAGGTGGGCAGGACTACAGAGCCCATCAGCTCGAGCCGTCCAGCCACATCTGGACGGGAGGGCTGCATCTTTTCCTTCCCTGGCCTTAGCAGCTCATCTGGATCTCTTTTTTTGAAGTCTCTGTCCCAAAGCAAGCCGCTTTGAGGGACTACAGATCCCATTTTTCTGGGCTTTGTAGTCCAAGGAAGTTCTTTCTCCATGTTCCGAGCGAAAAGGATGCCTCCCGGTCTGAATCCAAGATTGGGGTTCCCCTGCAATGCGTATGCGGGGGACCCCCCTCCGAATTGGATAGGCTTCTTAAGAAGGCAGCTGTGTTGGTCCCGAGAAGACTTCGCCTGTTGGATTTCTGCATGAGTCTTCAGTGGCTGCTCACCAAAGCCATTCCAACTTCCGTTGTTTTGCTTTGCTTTGCCATGTTTTTAAACTTGGGGGCAAACAATCTTTTAAAGATAGGCTTTCAGCTGTTTCGACTTGTTCCGAAAGGTGCTTCTTTTCTGACATCTGGTGGGAACAGGGTGTGGGATCGAAACACGGTTACATGAACAGAAATAAAATACATTTTTGGGGTGAAGGAAGGGGGGGGAAGAAACCCGGCTTGGGAGCCTCTGAATCGGTTTCTGTTCTTGAGCTGGGGGGGGGGAGACTCCAAAATTGAAGGATGTAGAGGGAAGGGACCCGAGAGGAGAAAGAGTAAGAACTTCTGGCAGAGAGGCCTAGTGGGTAGAGACTGTCCTAAAGGGGCCAGAAAGAAAGGCTGGGCTCGTTTCTTCCTGGTGGAAAAATGGGGAGGTGGGAAGCTTTTATCGCGGCTCAGAGCCTTGCCTTTAAGAGCCCTTGTTTTTCTTTTTTCCTTCTGCCACCCCACCCCAAACCCCATCCACCCACCCACCTACCCTCCCCAGGCGATGCGGTTGAGAGCATAATTCTCCGGCATCGGCAGCAGGAGGACTGTCTGGGACGGTTGTGTTTAGTCTGGGAAGCCCCTGCCTCCCCTTTCCTCCTCCTCCTCCTTTCCCGTTGTCCAAGGAAGCTTCAGAGGCAGGAGGGGGAAAGCCCCAGATATGCCTTGAGGAGGGAGATCGTGTGTATGCCCGGCCGGCCCTGACGGAGAGCATGCCTGCCGTCCCTCGTGACCCCCTGCGCACCCCAAAGAGGGAAGGCCGGTAGCAGGTGAGTAGACAGCCAGGTGGGTTTGGATTCTGGACCCGCTCTTTTTTGGGGGGATCTCCCCCCCAGCCTGCTTTCTCTCTCCCCCCCCTTGCAGGACTCTGCACGCGGGCAGAGTTTCTAATGATGCTCCAGATCTTGGCCCTCCCTGGGGCCCCGCACTCTCTCCCCCGTCCAGATGTTTTCCCTGCCAGGTCTGTAACTTTCTTTTCCTGCCTTGTCCCACGTGGTTCGGAGGGGTGAACGTCCTCTCTAGGCCTGCTTGCGATGCCTGCAGGGTTTGCTGAAAGGACCTTCCCTTGTGCTTTCCAACCGCTAGGCTCTATTGCCTTTGCAGACTCTACTTTTTGACTTTTCACCAAATATGACCGAGTTACGTTATGAGCGTAACTTAATAGGAAAACAGCATTACTCCTCCTTTTTTTTGGCGCTGTAATCCAACTTTTGTGGGTTGTTTTTCACCATTTTGTGATGGCAGCGTAGCCGAATGGGTGGAGGACGTTTACACATTGTGACTCAGCTATTGCATGAAAGGTGTTCCCCCACCACCACCACCCCAAAATATAATAGCAAAATAAGTAGTTTTCTGTTTCAAAACAGGAAGGCAAATTGTTACTTTTAAAAGACTGAAGCTATAATGTTTGGGTTTAGGAATGGTAACTATAATGATAATAATAATATTGGCTGGAAGGGACCCTGGCGATCGAATCCAGCGCCTGTCAATGAGACACAGTGGGGAATTGAACGGCTGGAAGGGACCCTGGGGATCAAATCCAGCCTCTGTCAACGAGGCACAGTGAGGAATTGAACTCCCAACTTTTGGCTCCTAAGCCAGCTATCCAGCAGTTCCATGATTAATCTTTAAAATTCCAACTGATAGAAGGACAAGGTGGGTAGTAACAATCCTTCTTAGGTTGTGCCTTTCCTTGAATCTGAATGCAGGCCTATTTAGGTCGGACCCAGTGAAATCAAGGGTCAAAATCCTATCGTGTAGCTACGCCTGCAGAAGGCCAAAGAGGGTCTCTCTTGAGTGGCTTCTTGCTGGTAATCAATGAATCTCAGCTTGGATTCCCAGGTGCGTGTCAGCGCTGGGTTGGCCTGAAAATCCACCCCAACGAGATGCTGCTATGAGGTTAGCGCTATGTGACTTCAGGTATAACTACCCAATAGGACTTTCAGCACTGGTTTCTGGGAGCCCATTTTAAACAATCCTGTCTAAACAGGGAATGTGCAGCCAACGGGACCTAAGTTAGACTTCACTTACTCTCTTGAAGATTAGGAGTTTGATCTTGGTGGTATCGATGAACGGTGGCTCCACGTGGCTTCTTTGGTGGCTTGACAGATTTAGACGAGCCGTTATACGGAGGTGTGTCTCCTTTTTGGGGACAGTGGCGGCAAAGATTGACAACCCTCTCTGCTTATATTTTCCTCCTCCCCCCACCCCCCCCCCTCCTTCCCCGGCACCTGCCCTCGCCATGTCCCTGAACCAGCCCAGCAGTAGCGACGCCTGCTTGAGCATCGTCCACAGCCTGCTGTGCCATCGCCAGGGCGGGGAGAACGAGTCCTTCGCCAAGCGCGCCATTGAGAGCTTGGTCAAGAAGCTGAAGGAGAAGAAGGACGAGCTGGACTCCCTCATCACGGCCATCACCACCAACGGCGCCCACCCCACCAAGTGCGTCACCATCCAGCGGACGCTAGACGGCCGCCTGCAAGTGAGTGGAGGGGGTCCGGGGTGGGCAGCTTGAAAAAGGGGTGTAGCGCTCAAATACCAGCATAGCTTCCACTGAAAGCTCTTGCTTGACCATAGCTAGACTTTAAGGGGATTAAGGTAGGGTTTTTGGGCGCAGTCAGACAAATCCGAAGAATTCTGTGAGATCTGGAAGACGGCGCCTCTGAAACCTTGGTTGTCTCCTTAAATTTGGTTCTGTGGTGGTGAGCCTCGGATAGAATCTTGTGGGACCCAGAGGTTGCGCTCCTTCAACTCTGGTGAGCCTCACAAAAGCTGAGAAAAGCAGAAGCGGTTGTGAAGTCTCCTTCTGTGTGACCCAGAAGCCGACACCTCTCTTAAGCTTGCCTTCTGCTTCTCTCTGCATGAGGAGAGAGTCAAACTCCCCCTTTTTTGGTTGTGAATCGCCAAATCCTTTTTGGATCCTCTTCCTGGCATTATCCTTCCCTCTCTCTGGAACTCCGAGGGGTTATTTATCCTGGGAAACAGACCTTCCGCTTGAATCTTAAGTGATGCGCTGGTTTGCTTTTAAGTCCATGTGGGACCGAGGGCTGAGAGACTCCGGATTCCTGCCCACCCTCGGCTTCTCCGACGCCCTCCCTTCGTGGGCAGCCAAGGCAGGCGTGTGTGGGTTGGGTTGGTGGCTTTTTGTGTGTGTGTGGTGTTGTTGTTTTTTGCCGCTGTGGGATTAAGGCACAGCTCAGCCAGAGAGACAGAAGAGCTGAATTTTTCTGAACACTTAGAGGAGATCACACCAAGAGCCAGGGAAGAAACATCCTCTGGGTACGTGTCTCTGTCTGTCTTCTCATCTGTTGTTGTTTTTTCCCCTTCCCTTCCCTGCTTCTGTAGACAGGGGGGGTTTGAGGGGGGGGAGGCTCTTGGTTTTTCGGGTCAAGCCCGGGAAGGCATTAACCCCTTTTAATCACTCCCCAACGCTGATCACTCATTTATCCTCCGCGCCCAGCCGCCACCGAGATGAGTCACTGTCTGGTTCTCCAGCCTGTCGGAGAGGGGAGAAGGAGGCGGGTGTGTGTGTGTGTGTGTGTGAGAGAGAGACTCAGTTATGTCTGGATTCAGCCTCAGCCAAAAGCCTTAAGGGGAAGAACCACAAACCCCTGTCTCCTTCCCCCCCCTTTCTTCTCCTACCCAGAGAAGGAGAACATGGTTACCTTGTCTTGCGCGGAAGGAGGCTGATGTATTTCAGCCCTTGTTGCACGGACTGGCTGGCTTTTGGCATCCATCCCACACAATTGGCAGCGTGCGGGTGTCCAGCGGTGGAGAGGTGCATTTGTGTGTGTGTGTGTGTGTGTTTGTGTAGGGTCTCGTCCTGCCGGAGGAAGCTCGAGAGCAGGCTGGCTTGATTCGGATTAAGGGAACATGGGGCAGAGGATGCTCTGTGGGCCCTCCTCCTCCTCTTCGTCTTGGTAAAGCTGGCTGGGTCGCTCAGGGGTGGAGGTCTCTGGTGCCAGAGCCGGAGAGGTTGGGAGTTCGAATTCCCCACGCTGTACGTCCAGGGAGAAGGGCCAGCCTGGGTAGCCTTCTCTGTGGGCCTCTCCTCCTCCTCCTCCTCCTTGTCTTGGTAAAGCTGGCTGGGTCGCTCAGGGGTGGAGGTCTCTGGTGGCAGAGCCGGAGAGGCTGGGAGTTCGAATTCCCCATGCTGTACGACCAGGGAGAAGGGCCAGCCTGGGTAGCCTTGGGCCAGCTGCGCCGTCCCGTGGGGGTCCCCAGAGAAAAAAAAGGCAAGGGTAAACCACTTCCGTGTATTCTCTACCTGGAAAATCCTAAAAAGGGTCATTGCAATCCTGAATGGCACAGGATCATTTAGTATTGTCTTGATATTTATTGGTTTCTTTGTTTTAAAAAAATTATTCCTCGTTGCACGGCATGAGGTCGGTCCTGATTTAGGGCAACCCCTTTCTACATTTTGCTAGGTAGAGAACGCTCAGAAGGGTTTTACTGTTCCCGTTTCCTGGGGTGCCCTGGGACCGTGCCCCTTACCCAAGGCTACCCAGGCTGGCTGTTCTGGTAGGAGCCGAATTCTTCGGCCTCTGGCTTCGCAGCCGGAGATCTAAACCACAGAGCTACCCAGCCGGTTACAATGCCAACAACCCTCCCTGTATCGCAGGGTCTCCAGGCAGCTCACGGACACGTATATAACCGGGGGTGCGTCCGCTCTGTTGTGTTTTCTCGGAAGGTGGCCGGGCGCAAGGGTTTCCCCCACGTGATTTACGCCCGCCTCTGGCGCTGGCCGGATTTGCACAAGAACGAACTCAAGCACGTCAAGTTCTGCCAGTTCGCCTTCGACCTGAAATACGACAGCGTGTGCGTCAACCCTTACCACTACGAGCGGGTGGTGTCTCCGGCCATCGGTAAGCGGCCAAGAAGGGGTGAGTGGGTGGGACAGAAGCCGAAAACCGGGCCTCATGTGGTTGAGGTGGGGGACTTGCCAGGCCACGGATCATTTGGGCCGACTCTTCCTAATCTTTTTACCGTTCCATCTTCCCCCTGGGAATTTCCGTGGCCAAGAGGGGGATTCGAACTCGGGTCTCCTCGTGTTTGGCGCTCTCCACCATACTGGGAGTCATAGATCCTCCGGACTTAACTCTTTTTCCAGGCCTCGGTTTTGAGCGCTCACATCTTGATGTGAAGGCTTTGTGGAAGGGAATGTTTGCCAGTGTTTTGGGGTGGCACTGGACCCACCGTGATCTGTGCTCTTTGTGAGAAAAAAAAATTATGAATGGGGAGGGTGAAAGCCAAGCGGGAAGAAGCAGGAATGAATTCTCTCGGAATTCCTAACCACTCTCTCTTTTTCTCTCTCTCTCTCTTCCGTGACAGGGCTAAATATCCAGAACACAGGTGAGTGACGCCACATTGACAGAAGACCCCAAAGTTTTTGAGAAAAGTTACTTTTGGGGACTAATCCTTCCAGAACCCCTCAGCACCTATTATATGGGGTTGAGTGGGGGGAATTCTGGCAGCTGAAGTCATTCTCCTCCCTGCTTTGGATGATACGGCAATGGAGCTTCTGCCAACAGGCAAAGTATACCTTTAAAATACGGAAATGACCAGAAATGACCGGCGCCGTTGATCCAGACGTCCTTACGGGCTTCTCAAAGCCAATTGTGTGGGATAAGGGAGACTAGGCTATAAAAGCAAGAATGAGTGAATTCTTGATTAGAATTATATGGTTCTGGAGTTGGAAGGGGGCACCCAGTTTCATCTAGCTCAACCCCCCGGAAGACCAAAAGGGCACCATCCTCTGCCCCTCATTAAGGGGGCTCATGGGAAGCCCTTTTGAGAATAGTGACTTTGGATCAGAAAATTCGGTAGGTTTTCTACTCAGCTTTGTGAGATGCTGGGTTTTTTGCCTCCCTCCAGCCCCTCCCACTCGGCTGGTGAAGGAAGAATTTGTCCCGGACTGCATCCAGATGGAAATGGCAGCGCCACCACCGCCACCGGAGCATCCGGGCCCTGGGATCAAAAGCGCTCGTGCTCAGGCCGAGCATTTCCGGCCTCTATCACCCCTTCAGCTCCCAGAACCGTCCCGTCCATCTGGGAGCATCTATGCTTCCCTGCCTTTATCTCCCCCAGGTAAGAATGTTGGGGACCTCACATTATTTAGGAAAGCGAGGAATTAACATTGAGAGAGAGAGAGAAGAATTAAAAAGAGCCGATCTTTTTACAAAACTTGGTGGCAGTTGAATTGACAGGGAACGAATTTCCACAGGCTACCAAAAATGCAAAATATATTTCTAAGAATATCTAAGGGAACCAAAGCCTGTACAAGGACACCATAGGAAACTTCATATTTAGAAATATGTATTTCTAGGAATTATATTTTAATATTTTCAGACCCAGGTTAAGTGAATCAGTGGATACTGATCCCGCAGATACAGGGTTCCTAAAGTCTGTCCTTATATCTTTGTCCCCTTCATCGTACATTCCTCTACATGTAAAATCCAGTTAAGATTTCTCTTTTTGGGGAAGCGGGAGAGAAAAGGAGAATGTAAACAGAAGCTAAAATAATGAGTGTCTTTCCATTCTGCTCCCAGGTTGTTGGTTTTTTTGCCTGATTATTTGAGAGTTGCTTTCCAGAGCTTCTCCACCCCAAAAATGGTGTCAAAAGAAATGACAGACTCGTAGGCCTATGTGGTAGATGTGAAGGAACGATATTCTGCCTTCCATTTTTCAGTTCCTACCATCTGTTCCATTACAGTACAATTGACTGAGGTTTTTGGATAGCCTTCAAGGGTCGGACCCCGTTAAGCAGAGTACAGTAGTCCAACAGGGTGTGGTCATTGGGTACCTGAGATCAGGACAGACTCCCCTGGTGGTTCCTCTCCAAGGAGCGATGGGCGTAAGGACACAATTGGGGTGCCGTGCGAGAACACGAATCTCCCCCATCCCTTTTTTCACCCCCAGGTCCTCCCGCTGGTCCCTTGCTCCCCCTCGTGCACGGCGAGGGCCTGCTTAGGATCTCCAGCCCTCCGCAGCCACCGGTTCCTCTGGGGTCTCAGCAAAATGGCGGCATCCCCAAATTATCCTATCCGAGTAAGTATCACGGAGGAATCTGGGGGTGGTGGTGGGGTCAATAGGGCAGCTAATGTCCAACTTGACCCTTGTTTTTATCCATTTCTTCCTTTTCAAGATTCAGCAGCAGTCAGTTGGACGGGGAACGGTGGCAACCCCCCGTTTGGCGCCGGCGGGAGGCGTCCGCTGTGCACCCCACCGCCCCTCCCCAGTCCTCCTCCGCCACCACCGCAGAACGGACGGAGTCACCCGCCGCCTCCCGTCCACCACTCCAACCATTACTGTAAGTCCCCAAGAAGAAGAAGCAAAAACGGGAACGGACGGGACAGGGTGGGAAGAGGATCGATGAAAGGGGTGAAGAGGGTGGGAGGAGGCCCACTAGCCAGCATAGTCACTGGGGCGTTCTTTGAGTTGCCGTCCAAAAAAGAGTCCCTTCTCTAATTTTGGAATTGTATGCAAAGGATGCCTGTTTTGGATCCAGGAGGAACTATCCCACCCACCCTTTTCACACGTCAGAAGCTTAGCATCATTCTTTCGAGAGGATGGGTAGACAGAAGAAAAAGATCCTCCCTTGTGGAATGTGGAATTAGCTTGCGGGACTCCCTGCCACAAGATGCTTGTAACAGATTCCTGACCGGGTCTATGAAGTCTTACCTTCTTAAATGTTGGGGGGAGGGGAGGCTGATGGTAGAGTTGGAGTGAGTGAATAGCCCCTCCAGTTGTTTCTCAACTCCAGTTCCCATGTTCCCTCATCACTGGTGGGGATGATGGGAGTTGTAGGCCAAGAACATAGGCAGGTGCTCCCCCGACATAGCTTCTTATTTTTAATCTTCCTTTTTAGGGTCAACGCACCACAGCAATGCCCCTTATCAGCAACCGGTCTCTAGCCATCCAGGTGAGCAAAGTACCACCCCCCTCAGTTTCCTTCCATTTCCATAACAGCCCGGATTTCTAACTCTTGGCTCTTTGCAGGTCCCGAGTTCTGGTGTTCCATTGCTTACTTTGAGATGGACGTCCAAGTGGGGGAGATTTTCAAGGTCCCCGCCAACTGCTCCGTGGTCACTGTGGATGGATATGTGGACCCTTCCGGAGGGGACCGGTTCTGCCTGGGGCAGCTCTCGAACGTCCATCGCACTGACGCCAGTGAGCGCGCCAGGTCAGGATGATAAGACTATTTGTTATTTAAACTAGTAGGGTGCCACGGGCTCATGGTCATGAACAGCAATAACTCCTCTGGAAATTCACGATTAGGCAGCCATTTGAAATAGGATACCATATTTTTCCATGTATAAGACTATACTTATGTCTAAAATCTTTAGACTTAAAATTGAGGGTCATCTTATACACGGAAGTAAGCTGAGGAGAGAAAAAAACAAGTGGAGAGGGAAAGCAGGGATCAAAGCGATCCTGCAGGGCTTTGATCCCTGCTTTCCCCTCCACTTGCTAAGCCTTAACAAAAGGAAAGCAGGGATCAATGCGCTGCGGGATGGCTTTGATCCTTGCTTTCCCCTCCGCTTACTAAGTCCCATGGGGCTTAGCAAGTGTAGGGGGAAATGATCAAAGCAATCCCATGGCTGTATAAGGGGGAAAGGGATCAAAACCATCATGCAGTCGTGGGATTGCTTTGATCCCTTTCCCCCTCCTTTTGCTTAGCACGAAGGGAGAAAGCAGGCATCAAAGCGATCCTGCAGCGCTTTGATCCCTTTCCCCCTACACTTGTTAAGCCCCACTTAGATTTCTTAATTTTGGGTTAGAAAAGTGGGGGGCGTCTTATACACGGAAAATACGGTACTTATTGTTTCAGGAATTCCATTTAGGGATAGAGCAGGGAAAAAAGAGCCCTAGACTTAGTTACAGAAACCCCGAAATACACGGTATGGTGCTTAGAATGCCTGAAACCTGTTCTTTTTCTTCTCTTGCTCTATTTTAAATTAGAATTTAGTTACCTCTGTAGGGAAGAGAGATTTTCTTCCTTTGCTTTTCCTTTTTTTTTTTCTTTGCATGCCTGTGGGTTGGCGAGCACCCTTCAGCTACTAGCTATGCTGGCTCGGAACTCAGTCCCTCTAATAAGCCCCGGTTCTGCCCGCAGACTCCACATTGGGAAAGGGGTCCAGCTCCAGTGTCGTGGCGAAGGGGACGTCTGGATGCGGTGCCTGAGCGATCACGCCGTCTTCGTGCAGAGCTACTACCTCGACCGGGAGGCTGGACGGGCCCCGGGAGATGCTGTGCATAAGATCTACCCGGGTGCTTACATCAAGGTGAGAGGAGTGGGGGATTTTTTTGAGGGTGTGTGAGGGGAATGCTGTTGACTCAGGCGGAAGACTTCTAGGGGCAGCCGCAAGCTGTTGGAGGAAAGAAAGCTGTGCTTTTGAATCCTTGACGCCAGCCTGCGGCCTTCAGGGGTGGCAGTCCCATTTTCCAAGACTAATCTGCCAGCCCAGTAAAATATTTTTTTTGCACATGGAAAGGGAGAGCTGTCTTCTCTTGGGCCTCAGGTGGCAGAGAGACTGGGGACGGCCTTCCTGAGTGACCCACCCTGTCCTGAATAAGTGCTACCATCTCTGAGACTGCTATGTTCCAGCAGAAGCTGAAACAGGTCTGCTCCACGAAAGAGCGCTGGAAGACATGAGCCAAGGTCTACCAGCAGGCTGGTCAAAGAGGTGCTTCAGGTTCTGTGGCGCTACAGAAACCTGCGCAACCTGTTTGGCTGGAGACATCAGCAGGAGAGAGAAAAGGGGGGGGAAGCTCCAGAGGATGGGCCCCCAAAGCCTTGATTATTTGTGGGTGGTTTTTTTCCGCATGAAGTGACCATGTCGATTATATTGGTTTGAAGAAACCACTCACAGGAATGTACAAAGTTATGCTCGAGGCTGGAAAAAAAAAGAAGAAAAGAAACTCATTTATTCCTGCCTGGGGAAATATTTTCTGGGAACCCACGTAGGAGTAATCAGTATAGGTTGGAGACAAGTGGTTCTTCCAGCCTCTCTTCTCTCTTAACCCCCATCCAGGTGTTCGATCTGCGTCAGTGCCACCGGCAAATGCACCAGCAAGCGGCTACGGCTCAGGCGGCAGCCGCTGCGCAGGCGGCAGCCGTATCCGGCAACATCCCTGGGCCTGGCTCTGTGGGAGGCATTGCTCCGGCTGTTGGTACGTATCAAGGAAGGGAGAGGAATGGCAGAAAAGTAGAAAGTGCTGTAGTTGTAGCCGGATCATCCCTGGAAATGTCAGCCGTATGTTGCAGAGTTTTGAATTTTGGGTTAAATACTTCTCACCGTTCGGCAGAAGTGCAGGGATTCACAGAGCAGAATAGCTTCAAGTTCTCCAGAGTAGTCCACCCCTTTTCTTATTAACTGGCGCTTACAGTCTCAACAATTCACTCTTGAGAATTTTTTTGGTAAGAGAAAGAATAAAAGGTTTCACTACTTACAGTTGAAGAGATCGAACAGCATGCTGAGAAACGTGACTGCTTTCAACAGCCGCCTAGAGTGGACTTATAGTCCAGATAGGCGGGATATAAATCAAATAAATAAATAAATAAACAAACAAACGGTTTTCAACCAACTGACTGCTTCCAACAGGCAACAGGGAGGGAAAAAGCTTAAGGCGGGGCTTTCTTTGAATTTGGAGGTGGGGAAGGAACGATTCGTTAGTACTGGATAGATTGACAGTCACCCCGGCCCAGAATGGTCCCTCACAGCCAAATCTACTCAAGGTGGAATGCGAGGTTGTAATAGCTCCAACACCATATGCCCTGCCGTGCAGTTGATTCTACAGGATCAAGGACGAAAACTGCCAAAAATCAATCAGAAATCCCATGGAAATGTATCAGATACAAGACATGACTAAGTAAAATCAAGATTCCAACTTGGAAAAAAAACCCCATAGTGCCTTATGTGAGACTAGGTTCCGACCTGACAGTTTACACTTGTGTAAAGGGAAACGGTCTAAGTCACAATGGTATATCAGCATTCAACTGCAAAGTGCTGGTTGTGTTCCTGGACACCGTTTTGATGGCAGCCAGCACCTCATTACCCTCCAGAAACAATTAATTGTCTGCTTCTCAGGTCTTTTCCAAACCTATAGGCTTCCCAAACGGTGTGGGCTTTGAGGCTGAGGACAGCCATTCAAATGGGGGAATGTGTGTGGTTCGGATTAAAATCCGGAGCGGCCTCCAGTCATTGAGCTCTCCCTCATTCTGCCCTTTATATCTTGTCCAGGCCTCTCTGCGGCGGCTGGCATCGGCGTGGATGACCTCCGGCGGCTTTGTATCCTGAGACTGAGCTTCGTGAAGGGCTGGGGGCCGGATTATCCTCGCCAGAGTATCAAGCACACCCCTTGCTGGATTGAGGTCCACTTGCACCGGGCCCTCCAGCTGCTGGACGAGGTGCTCCACACCATGCCGCTGGCCGATCCGGCTCCCGTCCACTAGATCGGGAGAAGAGGGCAGGTCTCCGAAGCCCGCCGGCTTCGGGATTGTGGGGGTGGAGAACCAAAAACCCCTTTCCTGATGCTCTCACTGGGAGCAAGATGGTGGAATTCATCCTGGACTCCTGTCCTTTGGAGAAAGCGGTGCCTCACCTTAATTCCATGCCTCTGAACACCAGCCTTTAAAGGAGAATTAAATGCGGACTTCCTTTGCTCCTCGAGCGCCAGTGATCCAGCTGCAGAGAATCCAAACAGCTGAGATATTTCCACTGATCCAGCCCTCATCTGAGAGCTCTCGTCTTAAACCATCACCTTAGATTTATTCTCAAATTTTAAATTCCACATCAAGAGAAGGAGGGTCATGGTTAATCAATAAGCCAGCTTGCTTATTTGGTTCGAAACACCTTACCTGGGCTTTTTTCTCCCTTTCCTTTTCTTTTAAAAAAGATGCACTTAGGGAATTTTATAAGGAGTACAAGTGCTTAAAAAAAAGTGTCAGATCTGCAAAAGTGGCCGGTGCTTTCTTTTCTTCAAGAAAAAGTGTCCATTTGCTGCCCCACAAAGAGGGGATGGATGGTTCAGGATTCTGCCCTCTCTAAGATGTGTCAGAAATGTTTTTAGAAAAGTGGGGCAGCTATTTGCCGAAACTGATCGACTCGATTATGGGATCCTGAATTTCTGCAAATGCTTCTGAAAACAAAGACCTTGATTCAGGAATGATGGTGTTACTCGTGTGCAAAGGTATATGGGTAGACGGCTCTTACTCGAGATCATGGGTTTCAAATGGCCTCGGGATTTTAGCCAGCTCAAGAACCAAATAATTGAAAATACCAAAAATAAATAAAAATGCGGAAATGATAAATAACATTTTAAACTAAAAGTGCTTCAGAGAGTTCAAGAGACCTCATTTGAAGCATTTCCAAAATTTTAATGGGACTCTGTCGCTGTTTCTTGTAATGTCAGCTTGGTTTAAGTGTGGTTAAGTATGGTTAAGTGGGAAATGTTTAGAAATCTTTCCCCTGCTGATCGCTCGAGACGGAGCAGCCACCAAAGACTCAGGAACACGTGCCATTTTCTCCCGGGTAAATTGAGAATCTGCCCTAATTCAAGTATGGGACGCTGAAAGTACACTAACAGGAATGGCACAGTTTTGCTCACCCTGTCTATTGCTGGGCCTTAACTTTAACACTGAAGTTCCTTTATAAATGAGCACTTCTTAATTTAAACTTCTGTCTCTTGTCTTTTTTCCCCTCTTTATTTTTGAAATAATCCTTATTTAAAGGAGAAATTGTTTTGTTCTATATGTCCTGAGAAGGCAGGGGTATGAAAGGTGTTGATTTCTGAACTCGAAGGAGTGCCAGGCTTTTGAAAATCTTGGTCATCGTCTGTTAATATGTGTTGATTTTTGGGTGCCAAGAAATGTCTGGGGGTCTTGCATAATGGGAGGAACAACAGGTCATGAGCACAGAATCCTATGTCCAGATTTTGTTGTTTTAAGAACACGTTTCTACTTCTTAAGGTCAAGGGTGGAAAGGTATATGTCTATACGCAAATTTAAGAAATCAGAAAAGCTGGAGAACACGGTGTGTAAAAACCATAGAAAGAGAAAGGCGATAGCTTCTCACGCAGAAGGTTTGGGGTTTGACCTCTACTACTGCTGATCATGGAGGTGGTCATTTAAGAAATGTATATATGTATTACGTATTATATTTATATAATAGTATATGTAGTGTTACAGTATAATGTTTTTGTTTAGTCGTTTAGTCGTGTCCGACTCTTCGTGACCCCATAGACCAGAGCACGCCAGGTCCTCCTGTCTTCCACTGCCTCCCGGAGTTGGGTCAAAGTCACGTTGGTCGCTTCGGTGACCCTGTCCAACCATCTCATCATCCTCTGTCGTCCCCTTCTCCTCTTGCCTTCACACTTTCCCAACATCAAGGTCTTTTCCAGGGAGTCGTCTCTTCTCATGAGATGGCCAAAGTACTGGAGCCTCAGCTTCAGGATCTGTCCTTCCAGGGAGCACTCAGGGTTGACTTCCTTCAAAATGGATAGGTTTGCTCTCCGTGCAGTCCAGGGGACTCTCAAGAGTCTCCTCCAGCGCCACAATTCAAAAGCATCCATTCTTCAGCGATCAGCCTTCTTTAGGGTCCAGCTCTCACTTCCATACATCACGACAGGAAAAACCATAGCTTTGACTATTCGGACTTTTGTCGGCAAGGTGATGTGTCTGCTTTTTAAGATGCTGTCAAGGTTTGCCATTGCTTTCCTCCCAAGAAGCAGGCGTCTTTTAATTTCGTGGCTGCTGTCACCATCTGCAGTGATCATGGAGCCCAAGAAGGTAAAATCTGTCACTGCCTGATAAAGTATATTATGGTATACAAATTATAACATGTGCATTATATACAAATGTTATATATAATGTATCTAATATGACTCCCTCTGAGTGTGTGCGTGTCTCACTTTTATTACATTATGGGCTTCAGCCCAGGCTTTTAACAGCAGGAGCTTGTGAGGCTCAGGACTACATTTCCCACCGGCCTGGGCGCCAAAGCCTTCATCCCCCATAATCCCTTTGGACACCGCGTGAGGCCTTTTTTTGCCCCCGCCCTCTCCTTAGAGAGGTCTCGCGAGACTTCGCCTCGGGGGACTGCCTTTCCTCGCCCCCTTTCTTCCCGCGAGCCTTCGCGCCCGAGAGGGGCGGGGCCCGAGAAGCATTCCCGGCAGGCTTTGCGCCGAGGGAGGCAGCCTCACAAACCGTCATGGCGGTGCCCGGAGCGGCTGCAATGGCGGCGGCGGCTCTTCCTCCTCCTCCTCTTCCTCCGTCGGGTCCGGCCAGCCCCGCGGGCCCCGCCGCCCGAGACCTCTTCGCCGAAGGGCTGCTGGAGTTTCTGCGCCCGGCCGTGAGGCAGCTGGACACCCACGTCCACGCAGTCCGGTAGGGAGGGCTGGGGCAGGCAGAGGTCCGTCCGGTGCAGCTGAGCCCCTTCCTCTTCTTCTTTTTGCCTCCTCCCCACAAAAATGGGACCCTGGACGCAGCCACGGGGCGGGACTGCCCTTAGTTTGCTATTCAGTCCCTTGGCGGTGGGGTTTGTGAATAGCTGGGGGGTGCAGGCAGACATCCGTCCGGTGCATCTCTCCCCCCCCCGCCCTTCGGTGGGGTTTGTGAATAGCTGGGGGGGATGCAGGCAGAAATCCGTCCGGTGCATCTGTCCCCCCCCGCCCTCCCCGCCTTCACTCCTCCCCTAAAACCGGTCTTTGGAAACGTCCGTGTGGAGCGGCTGCTGTGGGTTTGCTGTTAAATCGCTGAGCAATATCTTAGATAGAAATCCATCCGGTGTAGCTGCTTCCTGTCCCATCTCCCCCTCCCTGGCATTTCATACAGCCCCAGGGTAGGACTGCAGTTGGTTTAGTACTAAAAACTCGTAAGTGTGGGTGTGATGCGAGTAGAAATCCATCAGGTGCAACTGCTTTTGCTCCCCCTTCCTCCTCCTCCTCCAAGACTGGTCTCTGAATATAGCTATATTAAGGTGGGACTGCTGTTGTTTTGCTGTTGAATCTTTTGACTGTTTTTTGACAGCTGAAGGATGCAGGCAGAAATCTGGCAGGTGTAGCCAGGCCAGCTCTGCAGTGTGTTTGGCTTGGCAGCTATCTTGCCTTAGAGATGCAGTCGTTGCATTGCGCCTGAGGGCAGGCGGGAAGCCACCAGGTGCAGCGCCTCTGCCTTAAACCTTGGCTGTTTTCGCAGAAAAGGGTATCTAGGCTGTTTTGGGCCAGACACTTCTGATCTGTTTAAACCCCAATTAGCACAGATTCATTCCTATAATTGGAAGTTTATTTCAGATGAATGGGCTGGGGGAGGGGAATAAAAGGAAAATCATATGACTACAATTTCATGTTTACTTCCTGAATTGCTAGAGGATGGGCGTTGCTGGCAGTAAGGAGCGCTCGCCCGAAACACCATTAGGAAAGATTTATGAGATTTGAGAAAAGTGGGCTCAAAATAGGTTAAAGAAATAAATAAAAGGGTTGGAGGCTGGTTTCTTCTTTAAAATAACAGCTTTGAGATTCGGAGAAGGGATCAGAAACAGTGGTGGAAATCTGGTGCAGTTGCGGCTGCGGCTGTGGCTGCTGCTGCTGCTGCTGGCCCGGTCTCTGGAAACGGCCGTATGGGGAGGCTGCTGTGGTTTTGCTGTTAAATCGCTGAGCCATACCTTAGGCATAAATCCATCCGGTGCAGCTCCTTCCTGTCCGTATCCCCTCCTTTGCTTTTCATATTTTATTTATTCTATTTATACCCCGGCTATCTGGTCATTCCCACCACTCCAGGCAGCATATAGCCCCAGGGTAGGACTGCAGTTGGTTTAGTGGTAAAAAACCCTACCCTTGGGTGTGATGCGGGTAGAAATCCATCCGGTGCAACTGCTTTTGCTAGGAGCAACAGTGGGGGATTCAAACTCCAGGAATAAAATGGTGCTGAGCAACCTTTATCCTCAAATCCCCCCCCCCCCC